AGCTTGTAACACTCCAAAGAGAAAGGAAAAATTGAAATCGCAACATATTTTACCCCTTTAAATGCAGCGATCCAAAAGAGTGAATCTAATCATCATTCAGGCAAAACTTTGCTTCAAGAATGAGCCACACTGCTGACGTGATCTAATCGCTAGCACACCCTGAGCACATGTGAGTTAATGTATTCCTCTTATCGGCAAGACATATCGGCATAATTTTTCATATCGGGCCGATGCCGATATTTACATTTAAAGCCATTATCGGCCGATTCCGATATCAGTCCGATAATATCATGCATCCCTAGAAAAGAACTATTATATTTTTGCAAATTGACTCACATTTGGTTTTTGACCACTAAAAATGTGTACAATTTAACAATTACTCCTGGATCCATATTGAAATTCCATTATCTCTGGAAATTAGCCATATAGGGCCTTAAAAAGGAAGATTCCAAAAGGTAAGTTTGTTAAGACCCAATATCTAAAAGGGCATTAATATATCTTTAATACTTTTTGAGTTACAGGCCTGCAAACTGAAGAAAAAAAAAACTTGAAAAGTGCTCTTTCCCCATTTTTGAATGTTCACACCAAGTCAACAGATTTTACTAACAGACCTACTAATCTCTGGGTAAAAGTAACATCGTGATGCTGCCATATATCTGAAGTCATTTTTAACCCCCTGTAATTTGGCTCTGAATCTCAGGTGAAAATGGCCATTTTGACCCCCCTCTACAAAATAGTGGATTACTCAGTAAATATTCATCCATGACATTTAATATTTTGGCTATCATCACTATGCATGTTTATCTTTCTTCAGAAAAAATATTAGCAAAATCAAAAATTTGAGCCGGGGACCTCTGGTTGAGCTGACATGGAATGACCCTATAGATATAATATCTACAACCTTTTGTGACCTCCACAAAGCATGAGAAAATGAATCAAATGTAAATGTGACTTCATATATTGTTCTGAAAAGCAGTATGAGGAACAAGTCTAATCTAATAAACGTGTCTGATGTGTTAATAATCAAAGAAGTATTCCTAGCATTCCTAATCCATAAATAAATCAAGCAGCACTCAGGGCCGTTCTACGGCAAATGGGCTTCATCAAGGCATCTACAGAAATGCTAACTGAAAGCTACAGAATAGAGAAGTAGCGATTCTCTAAATCAGTACACAGAGCAGCAGAACCTTGCAATACTTTCTCTGACACTTCAAAAGACTTCAGAGTGAAGGAAAGACCATAGTAGCATTACTCACCGGCGGTGAAGTCCTTGTTAAGGTCAATGAAAGCATTGGAATGAGGGACGCGCATTTTGCCTTCCAAGTTGAGAGCCTTCTCGCATTTCAGTTGCCTGACAAACAATAAAACAGCATGCTTTGTACACTGTACACTTGTTTTCTTGACACAGGCAGAAAAACCAAAAACAAGCTATTGCACATTTAGGAAAACATTCTTACCTACTCCTGAGATAGCAAACCTCTGATGAACCATCCACAGATCCAAAAATGTCTGGAATCATGTCCCCATTAAAGCTGTAGTGGAAAAGAGGAAGCAGCATTAGACCTCTGAAAAAGCAAAAACCTTTACAAGGGAAGTTTGCATTTGTACACTAAAGGGATGAGGACTGCAAAACTTACATGATACATTACATTAAGTTAAATTTTGAGGGGTTGCTTTTAAGATATTAGCCAGCAGAACAGTACGTACACTTCCTGACAATAAAAATGTCGGTCTGTTTATCAGAATTAAAGTCAGTGAAAGCCGCAACTGTACCATAATTCCCTAAGGCAAGGTGTTTAAGACCAAGATTATATAAAGAAATAATATTTCCACAATGCCCTTAAATTAAAAACAATATACTGCACTTACTCCATGACAAGGGGCTGATCATCAAAGGTCCTGTTCAGCCCTACCTTACCACTCTGGTCTGTAAGAGAACAGATAACATTCACTGTGCAAATCACTGCTGAAGTATAATTTCTATAGCTGTAAGACCATCAATTCAGGCAGAAATACTGAATAAACGAACCAACTGGAGCCAGGGTAATGTACAGAAAGCACTTTCTTTTATTTTTAAGACCTTACCCAAAGTTTGGTTATGCCCCCAGAAGATGAAGACTGTTTGTGTGGAGAGGTCCTTCTGGTAGCCAGTAACAAGCACATCCATCTGAGAGTCTCCATCATAATCACCCGGGACCACACTAGTTATGCTGAAGTCACTAAGACAGCCAGAGAAACACATGAGGCAATATCAACACAATAAACTCTCACAAAACATGACATATGAAATATTAGTCTGGGGGAAAAAAGTTTTCATATGTGGTTTAGGTTTTACATCATATTTGATATTTCAAGCTGTTATGGCCCATACAATATGATATTGTGATAATATGGAGCTCACACATTCAAGAAGAAAAAAAGCATGTCAATTTTATTCAGAGGCCCAAACTGACAAAATATGCTAAGTTGTTATATACAGGTGCATCTCAATAAATTAGAATGTCGTGGGAAAAGTTCATTTATTTCAGTAATTCAACTCAAATTGTGAAACTCGTGTATTAAATAAATTCAATGCACACAGACTGAAGTAGTTTAAGTCTTTGGTTCTTTTAATTGTGATGATTTTGGCTCTAGGATATTAAGTAAAGATCATGTTCCATGAAGATGTTTTGTAAATTTACTACCGTAAATATATCAAAACCATTTTTGATTAGTAATATGCATTGCTAAGGACTTCATTTGGACAACTTTAAAGGCGATTTTCTCAATATTTTGATTTTTTTGCACCCTCAGATTCCAGATATTCAAATAGTTGTATCTCAACCAAATATTGTCCTATCCTAACAAACCATACATCAATGGAAAGCTTATTTATGCAGCTTTCAGATGATGTATAAATCTCAATTTTGAAAAATTGACACTTAAGATTGGTTTTGTGGTCCAGGGTCACATATGGTCATTAAATGCGATGAAATTCTAATAGCTTGTAATGTAAATCAATGAGATTTTTGTTACAGTATAGCAGACTACATAAAATGTAAATAAACATAAGTTGTCAATGTCTCTCAACAATATGTTGTTTTATGATCAAAGCTCTGTAATTTTAACTGTGAGGAGCAAAACATATAATGCAATGCAATATAATTATATTAGAGAGAAATAAACATTCTTAAAGTCTGTTTTATCTTATTTGATACACACATTTTTAATATAATGTTTCTAAAAAAATGGATAATGAAGTAATCCTAGGTAGCTTCAGTCCAGTAAATGTTTACTTTATTGATAATAATATAAAGTAATTATTTTATTTACTAACTAAAAGTCAAAAGACACATGACACATGTACAAAGATGGCGAACATTTTTAGAATTATGATAAAAGGCTGTTCACTTATTAAAAATGATGAACTATCAGTCAGGTGGCAGAAGGCATATAGAAGATTGTGTACAACAGCTTTTCGGCAACATTTTGATCATGTCGATAATTAAGAGGCCTTAGAAATTAATGTATCGAACGTGATACAGTAGGCTTTATTAGTGTGTGTCAGTGTGTATTCTTACCTAGGGAAAGCCTCTTTAGTCAGATGGACTTTAGGTTTGAAATAAGGAGCTTTAAGATCAGCCAAGAAAATCACCAACTCAAAATCTGAAAGAAACAATATTCTCATGAAATAACACAGAATCAGGGTGTTCAGTACCAATAACACAAACAAATAAACAGTACATAAAAACAGAGTGCAAAGGGAGTATCTTGCCACATCCCCTGTGACATCTTATTAAAACTCACACATATTGTACAATAAGCAGCATCTTACATTACATTAAGTTCAACTTAAAAGGGAAGATTTTGATACATTAATAATCTTAACGTCAGCTAGCAGAACTGTACTTACGCTTCCTGATGATGAAAATGTCAGTCTGTTTATCAGAGTTAAAGTCACCGAAAGCCGCTACCGTACCAAAATTCTCCGGGCCAAATAAATCAACAGTAACGTCCTGCAATGCAAACGTGACATGTTGTCCCACAAAACTTAATAATAACGTCAAAAACCAAGCCCATAACAGCAACATTTTGCTGTTAGCTTCGGTCACCACAAACCGGAACACGGCATGTCGTTCGACGGCAGCCAGCGGAGTACATATAAGCTTTGCGACAGTGTGAGTGCTAACCGGCAGTGCGAGTGTGATGTTGTTATTTAGCTGTCGTTATGGCAAGTCTAGCGGATGTCGGCTGGAAGCTGCTGGAGTTCAAAGCCAGATCTAAGCGATCAGGTTTGGTTTTTTGTGATGCATGGCATTGAGCACGATTAAGCAGTGCGCATTTGCTCTCTCGGTGCATTTTGATCCATTGTCCGTGCTGCAGAAGCGCATTAACATGAGTTTTCTTGTCTGTGTGGCAGAGAGCAGAGCCCAAAGGTCAGGTGTGAAGTTTACGCTGATCAGGGCTATATGTAGAGACTAACTGCACACTGTGCTTCAGGCTTTGAATTTTTAAGGAGTAGCACTTTAAAATACTTCAGTCCCCTTAATGTCTAAGGTTTTGAAAGGCCTTTTAACCCTCTTAATTCAGTGCTCGTTAGCGTCTGCTTCAGCCTGACATTAAAACTCAAAGTAGCCCTTGAAAGGGTTTTCAGAATCCACTTGTTGTTATGTAAGATAGATAAATAAATAAAACCACACATAGTTTCTTCCTGCTAGTTTTGTTTGGTGAAGGCAAACCGTGAAAAAGAGAAGTGCTTGCCCTAATGTTATTCTAAATCTGTATAGAAAAATATTCAATGAATGTAAAAAGTTGCTGTCCTTCTACCTAATATTGTCTTCTTTTGTGTTCTACAAATACAAAAACAGATTTTTTTTGCCATAACAATTTTTTAAAATAGTTTTATTTTTACAGCTTTATAGAAATTAATGATGTCAATATCTTAATGCCTTATTGTCGTATTGAACAGATTAGAGCATTTTGTGATTACAAGCAATCAAGCAGTTGAGATTTGCAATATAGAATATATCGCTTTACATGAGTATGCATGGTGTGAAGTTGGATATACTTATATATCCTTTGAGGTAATCTAGTTTACATTTTGCAGCAATATAAACATTCAAGCAGTTGAGATTTGCACTACTTCACTTTACAATAGGACTACGGATCATTATTACCTTAGAAGTTGCATTGGCATTGTAGCTTATATGGTGTCATGGTCATTTTCGCACATTTTAATTATCATCTCATCCCCTGACGTCAGTCATACCAGATCATCTTTCAATTACGCATAATGTAATTTGTTGCATGTCCATCCAGTAACCATGCCTGAAGAAAATCTCACTGTGTGATTCCATGTAATTTGTCTTTTCTCTCTATTTTCTGCTAACCCTCTGAATTACACTAATGTTGTAGTTTAACTAATAGAGGCCTGGCGTAGAGTTCACCTAATGAAATATGGCCAACACTGCCAATGAAGTGAATGTCCATCGCAAACTCCGGAAACTTGGTAAGTTGGGGCGTAGTGATTGGTTCATGGAAAAGATGCTCGTTACTTTAGAAATAAGAACTTTCCGTTTCAATTTACAAGCATCTGAATGAAGGTTAATAACGGTTTAATTTTTTTAAGCCAATGCATTCATATAACAGTCTTGGTTCAGACTGTTTGATGCCTAATTGAAAATTGGTGCTTAATTGATTTTCTTTTTCATTGCAGAAAATAATAATTCTAGTTTTTCATCTGTAATAATTCATCGGATGTATAGGCTTACGCACAAGTAATCCTTGGTGATATCATGGTTGAAATTCTGTGATTAATGAAATCAGTAATGCAGTCCAGTACCTCTCGTCTCTTTCTGTCAATGTCTGATCAAATCTGTTAACAGAGGGTCTGTATGCTTCTCGAGGCAAGTTACTTTTATATCAATGTGGTGAAACTAAAATGAGGAGTATCTTTCATTTGCCTATTGGATGTGCACTGCTTAGCTGGAGATATCTTAAAAAGAGATGGTTTTGTCCCGGCTACTTAAAAGCTGATGGGAATTATGCTAATTTGCTAGGAAATGTGAATTTTCAGTACCTGAGGTATTGACCCTGGGTCGATTCTATTAAAATGTAAATTGCTCCAAAGTTAAATGTGTCTGAAATAGTGCTGGAGTTGATGGGGTTCCCCTGAATTTCACACCTAGCAGAAAAAGCTGAATTTACTGGTGTCAGGTTCCATTATTCACAGAGTTTGTGCCAGTGCCTTCAATTTTGCAATCAAGCTGTGTGTGTTTGCAATGACGTTCGATTTGATATATGCATTTGGAGAACAATAGCTTTAGTCTTTTGCATTTTGCTTTGATTGTTTTCCTGGCATGCTTTGCTGCCTTTGCACCCCAGTAAATCTACATTTCGCTGCTCTTAGCATTGTAAATGGAACAGAAAACCATTTAGGTTACAGAGACTAAATGAAGCACATTTTGATTTTGTTGAGTCAGCTCAACCTCGGCATACTAAGTGGGCCTGTAGCGGGCCAAAGTGGGCCTGTAGCGGGTCAGTAGTCTATAGTAGCATCATCAAGAAGCCATGCTGACTTTGAAGTATGCTCCTCACTTCCATCCAGGGATAATTGAATTGCATCTAAAGACGAGATAAGCATCACAATATTTCAGATCTATGCTGATTCAAGTGTTCTTTAACATCTGTCTTTGCTTTCTATGATCAGGCTCCATCTATGAACCCCTTAAGCTATCCATACTGCACCGGGAGGATGAGCCCCTTTGGGAGAAACTTGACCGCTACTATAGCGCAGGTGAGAATTTATGTCCAGATGTAATTTGTTTTTCATATAGGTTTAAAAATAGAAGCCGATCTGAGCGTTTTATGAAATGGTTGGCTCCGGATAGTTGGAGAACATCTTTTGAGCACTCTATTATGGTCTTTAAATGAGGCATTTAACCTCATTCTGTCGTGTCATGGATTAATCTAGATGCACCACCTTTTTAAAATTTTAATTACAAGTACAAAATTATAAAGCAATGCATTTAAGGTGTCGAGCTGTGTACAAATTGCAAAGTTACTCCTGATTTTTTTCTAATATAGTTGATCTGTGTATTAAGTGCACTGGTGTTTACTCATATTTAAAAATAATTTAATTTTGGCAAGATGTTTCGTAATTTAATTAGAGGATTCAAAAAGTCTCCAAACCATTACATTTAATTATAATACCCAGCAAATGAGTTGAGTCCAAGCACTAAAAGATTCATTTGGAGCTAGTATGGTTTCTCATTGCTGAGCTCCTCTGTGCATTTTGCTCTTAATCAATACTCATCTCTTTTCCTGCCTACCCTCTTTCTCCCTCTCCTCTCACCTAATCTTCCTTTCAATTTCAGTCTTCAACATGACAATAAATACTGCTATAAAAGATGAAACAGCGTATGTAAGATTAAGAGTTTTCTTGATAGTTCTATTAGTTCCTAAAGATGAAGAATAATCGGTCACTTGTTAATGTTTTTTTGGGGTTATTTAGCTTAGTTTAAATGTATGTGTTATTCGTAAACCACTGATTTAGAATTATCTCCAACTTGTTGGTTGCTGGTTGTTGATGATATCATAATGATTGGTCATTCCCGCAGGTGAGGGTGATCTTGTTAGTGGCAGGTAGGCTGATATTTGTGCTGATGCACTGCAAAAAATAATAATGATAATAATTTATTAATATATTATATTTTGCTCTTGTTTTCCAGTAAACGTCTATAAGATTAATTTTGCTTGAGAAGCAACATGACAAAATATAATAAGATAATAATCCAGTTTTCAGAGAAATCTAACAAAGTATAGCGAGAATTAAAATGTAAAAAATCTGTAAAAAATATACTTTTTGCAATGACTAGGACACATTTATCAATACTTACGCAATGGTTTCATTTGTAAAATGTCTTTAAAAAACAAGAATGACAGCTCTCTACTGTTTAGAATTCAGTACAGTACGTTACATGGTGCATGTTTACATTATAGTACAAAATTGTTCCTTAAAGGGGTCATGAACTGAGAAACCAAAATTTCCTTGATCTTTTGACATACAGTGCTGCTTGAAAGTTTGTGAACCCTTTAGAATTTTCTATATTTCTGCATAAATATGACCCAAAACATAATTAGATTTTCACACAAATCCTGAAAGTAGACAAAGAGAATCCAATCAAACAAAGGAGACAAAAATATATACTTTGTCATTTATTTATTCAGGAAAATGATCCAATATTACATATCTGTGAGCGGCAAAAGTATGTGAATCTCTAGGATTAGCTGTTAATTTG